GCTGTTGAACCATTTGAAAGTAAGAAAGTAAGTTGTAGATATCATGGCACTTCGTGATAAATACTATTGAATGTGTTCTTGAAAACAAGGAACTTCTACATAATCACAATCCCCAAAATTTGTCAGTGATACAATAATCTTATTTAATAATGGCTCATATTCAGGTTTCCTTAATTGTCTTCAAATTTTCCTTTAAAGCCAGACCAGCTCCTATACCTTTTTCCCCCAAAGATTTTATTTATTTGTTAGAGAAGGGGCAGCAGCAAGGGAGAGACAGAGGGAGAAGCTGACATGCCACTGAGCAGGGAGCCCCATACGAGGCTGGATCCCAGGACCCCAGGATCAGGACCTGAGCCAAAGGCAGATGCTTAACCGGCTGAGCCACCCAGATGCCCCACCTTTTATTTGTTTTTTAATCTCTTATAACTCTGGTATTTTCTGAATAGCCCCAGCTAACTATCTTATAGAATATCCCGGAGTCTGGACTTGCCTAATTATGTTGTCATGATTAGAGTCAGGTTGAGTGTTTTTGGCAAAAATACCACAAAAGTAATGAGGTTTATTTCCCATTAGATCATATCAAGAGGTGTCATGTCATTTTGTCCCTTTATTGGTGTTGCTATATTTAATGACAATGCCATACATTTTGGCTGAGCCTTATTTGTTTCTCTTAGCACTGTTGAAGTGGGTGGGCCATTGCAGCACTATTCATAGTAGCCAAAAGGTGGAAACAAATCAAATGTTGAATGGTGAATGTTGAACAGATAAATGGGCGAACAAGTCATAATATAGTCATATAGGGGAATATTATTCAACCCTAAAAAGGAATGATGTACTGATACACGCTTCAAGACAGATGAACTTCAAACACCTGATGTTAAGTGAAAGTCTACAGAAGCTTACATGTTGGATCATTCCATTCATATGAAATATCTCGACATAGACATAATGCAGATTGCTGGTTGCCAGGGGCAGAGAAGAAGGGAATAGGGAGTAACTGCCTGATGGGCTCAGGGTTTCATTTTTGAGTGATCTAAGTATTTTGCAACTAGGTAGAATTACAACACTGTGAATGTATTAAGCGCTACCAGATTGATTTCTTTAAAATGGTTCATTTGTGTTATGTGAGTTTCACTGCATTTAAAAAAAGAAGTGAGGGGGAGGCTGCTTCTTGATGATGTACAGGAAGTAGAATCTGTGGGCGTGAAGTTATAATAGAGTGTGAATGATAGAAGCTGGCTTTTGGTTTTTCATTCAACATATACCTCGGTTGTCGCAACTGAAATTTATGCCTTCTGTGCAACTTGGTTTGTAGATCAAGACGCTTTTAAAAGGTATCAGTATCAGTTTTGAGAACCATGCAATACATTGGAGTAGACTTTTTTTTATCTTTTCTCTTTGACCTCCCATTCAGAGAAATCATGTTTCCTTGGATTGCTTAATGAGATAAAAATAGAAAAGAGAGGTGATCCGGTCACCTAGTTTTTTAAGCGTTTTCTTCTTTCAGTCCAATTTAGGATCATGGGATTTAAAAAGCTATTTTGGTGCTGTAAACGATACGAAATATTAAAGAATGCATGCAATGTGTGCAGTGGGAGTTTAAATTAGAACAGCGCCTTTGGATCGGGAGGAATCAGAGTGTATCAAGTGACAGAGGTGTTTCTGCTTGGTGATCCAGGGTTTTCCTGACTGTCCTCTAGAAGTTAATTAAAATGTGGGCAAATGTTATACAAGTTTATGTTTCTAGAGAAAATTTGTGAGAAGCCCACATTTTCAAAAAGAAAAGAATGGTTGAATTAGTATTGCCATCCAATGGAATGTGAATCAATTATCAAAAAGACCATTTAAAAAAAAAGATTTTTATTTATTTATTTGACAGACAGAGATCACAAGGAGGAAGCAGGCTCCCTGTGGAGCAGAGAGCCAGATTTGGGGCTTGATCCCAGGACCCTGGGATCATGACCTGAGCCGAAGGCAGAGGCTTCAACCCACTGAGCCACCGAGGCGCCCCCAAAAGACCATTTTTGAAGAGGTTTTAATACCAATTTATAAAATAAAACAGCTAGTGTGAGATCATCATAAGAGATACAATACAGAAACTTAAAAAAAAAAGTGGTCAGCCATGTTAAGGAAACATAACTGTTCATAGGAAAAAAAAAAAAAGACCACAAGGAAAATTTTAACAGTACTTTTGGTTGAGTGATAAGAATGTGGGTGCTATTTTATCTGCTTTTAGGTTTTGCATTTTCCAAACGTGTGATAGTAAACATAATCACTATAACGCCGCTCCCATTTGTCAAGAGTGTGCTAGGCATGATGGCATGTCTACATTTATTTCTCCATCGTCCTTGGAGGCAGGTGCTGTCATTAGCTTATCTCACAGGTAAAGGCATTAAGGTTCAAAAAGTAAAAGAACCCTCTGCAGGTTAGGCAGCTAGTCGGTGGCAGATTCCAACATGAGCGGTCCAATTCCAGGTCCGTGTTTTAACCATCATCCATGCAGAACATTTAGTGGCTGTTGAAGAGAGATGCAGTATGTATTCAATTAGTGTGTGTATGTGGTTGGGTTAGTGGAACACTGAACGAGTAGCCTGGGGACTTTATTTCTGGATCTGCTCTTGACTCCTATGGTCAAATTAAGTTATTATGCTTTTGGTCTCAGTTTCTCCATCATTATAGTAAGGAAAACAGACCCTCCCGTTTGCCTGATTTCTTATGCTTATGAGCCTGCCTATGCGTTTCTAATAAATACTTTTAAGTTTATGGTGCTCTTGCCATGAGCTATGATTTGTTTTGTTTTGTTTTATTTTAAAAAAAAGTGTGGGTCTGGGGCGCCTGAGTGGCTCAGTGGGTTAAAGCCCCTGCCTTCAGCTCAGTTCATGATCCCAGAGTCCTGGGATAGAGCCCCGAATCAGGCTCTCTGCTCAGCAGGGAGCCTGCCTCCTCCTCTCTCTCTCTCTTTCTCTCCCTCTCTGCCTACTTGTAATCTCTGTCTGTCAAATAAATAAATTAAATCTTTAAAAAAATAAAATTAAAAAATTGAAAAAAGTGTGTGGGTTTAAGAATTAGGCAGATCCAGGTTCAAGTCCTTTGGACCCTAAAAATCCCTGAGCTTCAGTTTCCACATCTGCAAAATGGGGACAGTACTATGTACCTTGAGGGTTGGGAGGAGAGAAAATGACATTGCCTGGGGGAGTTAGGTGGTCATCACTCAGGAACTGATCTCTCCCTTCCCTGCTGCATCTTAGCTCATCTGATCTATTGGAGAGTGCAGCTTAATGAGACCCATGGAAGTTTCTTGTACATAATTGACACATGGTAGTGAAATAAAGAGAAAATTAACCAACAGTGGTAAATTGTCAGCACTTAGACCTGGGTAGAGGGAAGCAGGGGAAGCAAAATGAAATGATCCTGATAGGAACGAGGGCAGAGGACACTCTCTTTGGCCGTACTCCTGGAGTCATGGAAACGCCCCTGGCTGTTCCAGAATGCAACAAACACCCCATGGAGGGATAGAGGGCACGTTCTTCCTTAACCTTTCATGTACTTTCCTTTAACAAACCTTAACCTATCCTGGAGAAAGCAGGTCTGTCCTCTTAAACGGGGGTCAATTCTGTTTTTAGGTTAAATCTATACTGGGATATTTACTGATTTATGTATCTCCAGAATTATAAATATATGTTCTGTTTTTGGCAAAAAAAAACCCAAAAAAACTGTACCTACAAAACTGTGATAGGTCAAAGTGCTGTTAATCAGATACTATGATGGATGGTTTGGAAACAGAACTCTTTGTAGCAAAGTTGATAGGGAGTGGATAGGAGTTTGGGGAACTGAAATCAGCTCTAAAACCAAAACTGCAGAACGTAACAGAAGAAGAGACAAAGGCAATCTTAAAGTCATAGGTAACGGGTGGTATTTATTGGGCACTTACTGTGTGCCAAGTTTTATGACTTTATGCTTCCCTCCTCCTTTCTTATTAATATTTCTCTCCCTCTCTTTTTTTAAAGATTTATTTCTTTATTTGAGAGAGAGCATGGGGGTGGGGGGTGGGAGGCACAGAGGGAGAGGGAGCACATTTTAAGCAGGCTGGCTCCCCACAAAGCATGGAACCAAGACCCAGGGCTCTCAGGACCCTGAGATCAGGACCCAAGCCAAAATCAAGTCACATGCTTAACTGACTGAGCCACCCAGACCATCTATATTTCTCTTTTTATAAATATTTTTTAGTATGAGAGCACTGATATAAAAAAAAATCTGGCTTAGCTTAATGTATTACTTTAAGGCAAACATTCTTGTCACTACTACGCAGTCAAGTTTTCTTGCTTCATATATTTTGAAGCTATGTCATTCGGTGCATAAACAATTTGGATTTTGCTTTGTCATAATGAAATGTTGTAAGTAGTGAAAGATGAACTAAGATGTAAAGAGTTTCTCCTACACTATTTCTGTCTCTGGCGACAGAGTTCCTGAAAATAGTTTGTTTCTAGAATGTTCCCTCTTTGTGGGCACATAAATAATGGTGGCTCTGCAAGGTAAACACCTATAGTAGGAATTCCTGCATCCCTTTTTTCAGCAATGATTCCTCCATATATCATGTCAGGGAGGCTGTGCAGACCAGCAACTTTGAGAGTAGACTGTGGATTTAGATCAACCAGTTCCTTTCTGTGGGGCTTGGGCAATCCATTTAACCTCTCTATGCCATTTTTTCTTCTGCAAAAAGCGCTGTCTGTGGCCACTTTGTTGATACTGTAGCTATGCAAGAACTACATGAAAATATTTTGGGAGAATACAATATAGTACTTGGCATATAGTCAATAGACAATAAATGTTAAATAATACTGTACCATTGCTGTCTTGTTATATTACCTCACTTGGACTTAGGCTCAGTTTAATGCACTTGGTGTATTAATTAAACCCCCCTGCCATGGACCACTGATTATACAGTACAGTGAGCAGATGCTGACTGACCCTGATTCCTGAGGTCTTTCCCTTTCTTACAGCACAAGTGTGCATTGCAGTCATCGTGATACTGATCGTATACAACTATTGGTTCCTCTATGTCCCTTATATGACATGGCTTTACTTTGACTGGAGTACCCCAGAGCAAGGGGGAAGAAGATCCAATTGGGTCAGAAGCTGGACCGTTTGGAGGTATTTTAAAGACTATTTTCCGATTCACGTGAGTAGAATTGTTTTATGTTGTACTATCTTGAGTTGGGAGAAGAGTGGAAATTTGTTTTCATCATAAATAGTTCAAGCTTTTCTCTTTGCAGAGGGAGAAAGCCTGCAGATCAGCCCAAATTTCTAAATGGCATCTGAGCTAAATTGACACCATTTTGAAGGCTATGTGCGGGGTGGCTCTGGGCTCAGGAAATAGTTTATACATTTGGAAATAGCTCTAACCCAGAGAACTAAACAAGTCATGTTTTCCATTTCCTTTTTTGTTTGTTTGTTTTTAATATTTTATTTATTCATTTATTTATTTGAGAGAGAGATAGCGAGAGAGAACACAAGCAGAGGAGAGAGTGAGAAGCAGCCTCCCCACTGAGCCTCCCCACCACCTCCCCACCTGCCTCCCCACCAAGCAGGGATCCCAATGTGGGATCTCAGGACCCTGAGATCATGACCTAAGCAGAAGGCAGACACTTGACTGACTGAGCTACCTAGGTGCTCCTCTGTTTCCTTCTGACATAAAAACTAATCATGAGTTTCTTGGTTTCCTATTGGAACCTAATCTGAACCTTTTTTTTTTTTTTAAATCTCACTATATATGGTAGCTCATCAAAACCTGGGATTTGGATCCAAGTCGCAACTATATATTTGGGTTTCACCCCCATGGAGTGCTTGTTGCTGGAGCCTTCGGAAATTTTTGTACAAATTATTCAGACTTTGAGGAGCTGTTTCCTGGCTTCACTGCGTATCTTCATGTGCTCCCATTTTGGTTCCGCTGTCCACTCTTTCGAGACTATCTGATGACCAGTGGTAAGTGAAGGCAGATTCTTATTTCTCCAGTGTTTGAGGGTGGTGGGATCACACAGGATGTTCCCTCCCAAACACAGGTTTATAGTTTCTTTTCTTTTTTTTTTTTTAAGATTTTACTTATTTATTTGACAGAGAGACTGAGAACATAAGTCGGGCAGAGAGAGGGGGAAGCAGGCTCCCTGCCGAGCAGAGAACCCAATGAGGGGCTCAATCCCAGGACCCTGAGATCATGACCTGAGCTGAAGGCAGAGGCTTAGCCCACTGAGCCACCCAGGCGCCCAGGTTTATAGTTTCTTAGTCAAGCCCTGTGTCTGTATCCCTTCCCATGCTGCTTGGATGTTTCTTGTCTCTCCCACTGGACTGGAAGTTTCAGGAAGACCCAGACTATTTCCTTTTTTCCCCACTCCTTTCTAGCATAGGGCCTGGGATATAGGACTGTGCAATAGATATTAATTCAATGCAAGAATAAATTGATAAATGCATTTTGTGTATCCAGATGTGGAAGAAAGAATCTTGGGTCAAACAAGTGATAGATTGCACCTTTGGAGAAGCACTTTGCCTGTGTTTATGAGCATTAGAGATGGAAAATAGCCTCCAATATGTCTTGAAGTAATAGCCGTGTATAAGTGAAGCATACTCAGTCTGAGTTTTTCTTCCCAGATTAAATAGAACTTGGCTCAGAACTGAGTTCATTTTACTCTGCTACTCTGAACTAGTGGAAGACTCTTTGATTAATGAAACCATGATTCTACCAATTCCAAGAATAAAATTGAGCTGAAATACTATAAAGACACATATGAGTGTGTACAGAGGCTAAGCTTCTGTGAACAGCTCTCACGTCAATTTGAGGGGTTCAGTTTATTTGATTTTTTAACCTGACCAACTTATTGACTCAGCATGAACTACAGGACCTTACAAAGTGCTTTATGTTTATGGTCATCATCTACATTAACTATTGTTGTCTTGCATTTCTGGGATATAAAGAAAAGTGGGTAGCCTTTTTTTGAAAATGTGTAATTTCAGGATAAGTGGCATATTCAAAGATAGAATTTTCCAGGGTCTCCCAGGTTTTCATTAATTCCTATTAATCTCTTAAGTCTCTGTTGTCATTGTATACCTGATAGGAAATCACTAACCACCAGAGGACTGGGATCCCTGGCTGGGTTTTCAGGTGCTGCATACGGACAAACCTTCACCCATAGGGCCCTGGGCTCTCTGTCCAGTCTGGCTGTCACTGCGCTGTGGCCTCTAGAGGGCGCACCAAATCGCCAAACTATTATACAGGCAAAAAATCCCTCCCTTGTTTTGCAAACATTGATTAGGTTAGTTTTATAAGAGGAAAAAAAAATTAAAGGGAAATTTTTTAAATTTCAAAAAAAACACAGAAATATATTTCCAATATACTGTTTTCTGATTCCAAGCTGCAAGTGAGTTTGAGTAGTGGTAACTGAGAGCAGGTGTGGCAAATTTATGGTACAAGAGATGTAGGAACACCCCTTTCCGTGGCCATGTCAGATACATATAGTCAACCTTAAGAGTCTTTCTCCATATAGTGCCCTCGGAGTCATTGCCATTTGCTTGAGCTGGCATTTGAGATTAAGCTTGTCTGTTCTTTCTGGCTTATGACGTCATGGGATCTTTTCCTTTCTGCCATCACCTGTGTTATCTCTAAAAGCTAGATAAAAAATATCCAAACTAAAGCTAAATAAAATATCCAAACTTGTAGCTAAATAAAAGCTAAAATAAAGCTAAATAAAGTTAAATAAAAATATCGAAATTTGTACCTGGTAGAGCCTTAGGGTGTCCTTATCTCAAAGTTTGGAGAGTTCTCAATTTTTCCCTAGAACCAGCTTCCAGGATGGCCCCTGGTCCAAGGCTGCTTTTCTACTCTATGCCTGGCTTGGTGGCTGCGTCTCTGGGTGTGAAAGACAGACAGACATGTGTACCAAACCTCATACAGTAAAGAAGAAATAGAGGGGTGCCTGGGTGGCTGTCATTAAGCAGCTGCCTTTGGTTCAGGTCATGATCTCAGGGTCCTGGGATCGAGCCCCACATCCGGCTCTCTGCTTGGCAGGGAGCCTGCTTCCCCCTCTCTCTCTGCCTGCTGCTCTGCCTACTTGTGATCTCTGTCTGTCAAATAAATAAATAAAGTCTTAAAAAAAAGAAGAAGAAGAAGCAATAGAGTTTCAGAGGTCCTTTGCTGACCAGTGCCTGCTTTGCTCTTACCCAGGGGATTTCTGTCACTGTAAGTCCCCATAAGTCCCTCCTCCAAACTATTCCTCTGTGGTCCATTTTGGTGAATCTTTACTCATCATCCAGGGCACATTCTGTGTTTCGAGGCTCATGTTCCTTCCCATGTGCCCAGTACGGCTCGGCAGGTAGCAGAGATCAGATCACAACAGCCACGTATATAGCCCAGATGAGGTCGATATGAAAAACAGCTGATGGATTCGACAAGACTTAGGGACTGATGTGGCCTCATGAAGGTAGCAACTATATATGTCATATCATCAGCATCTAGCATGGTGTCTTGCCTATAGCAGGTGCTCAAGAAGTGTTTTGAATGAGAGAATGAGTGACAAGTCAGCGTGGTTGCTAAGAAGAGGGGGGGTATGTATGGGAGGAACCTATACCTCTGACTTGTGTGACAAGATAGGTGATGGTCCCATTCACCTTGAGAGGTAATGTTGTAAGAAGAACACAGTGCACTGGGTTTGGAAACATGGAGTTTGTGGTGTCTTTGAGTTGGTGAGGTAGAAATGTCCATTGGGCCATTGGAAGTGTGGGTGTAGAGCCTCAGGAGGAAAATGTCCCAGGAGATGGATTTGGGAGAGCTCAGCACACTTCAGTGGTACTTGAATCCTTGTATGTAGATAACATTAGAAGATATTAGAGACTCTGAAGGAGCCTGTCTTAGTTCAGCCTGCTGTAACAGAATACTATAGACTGGGTGACTTAAATAATGGACATTTATTTCTCACTCTTCTGGAGGCTGGATGTCCAAGATCAAGGCCCTGGCAGATCTGGTGTCTGGTTAGAGCTCCTTTCCTGGCTTATGGATAGTCATCTTGTTAGGTCCTCTCTTCCTCTTTTTGTAAGGACACTGATCCCATCTTGGGGCTATGTTCTCATGACCTAGTTACTTTCCAAAGGCCCTACCTCTTAATACCTTCCTACTGGGGATTAGGGTTTCAACATAGAAATTTTAGAGGAATACAAATATGCAGGTCTTAGAGCTCTAAGTCATAGCAGCATTTAAGGATGGTCTATAAATAGAGCCCAGAGAGGGAACTGAGAAGTGGCTGGAGGAGAGCTGGTGTCTGGAAACTCAGAAGGCCCCCATTCCAATGGAATTAATGCCTCCAGCTCCCACTCCAGGCATGCAGGGCAGAATGGCAATGCCTTGAACTCAAGAGAAGTTCAAACCCATTGAGACTCAGGTTCTCTACCCTCTAACCCTCTTTCTTCTGCCTCTTTAGTAAGTGGTTGGTCAGTCGGAATCCTGCCTTATTTTATATTCCCCCAGTAATAGGCACTTATAGTAAAATGAGCATATAACTGTCCTTTGAGAAATGAGGTATGTTGTGTCTTAATAAAGCCTGCCTGACACATTCTTTTATGACTCAAAAAATAGATAAAGCCATGATTGGAAGGAAACAATAAGACTTTAAAAAGCAATTATCTCTGTAATACAGGTCATGAGTGGCTTGTATTTTTTTTTTTTTTTTTCCGTTTAAGAGTTCATGGCTTTTTTCTCCAAGAGGAAAAAGTACTTAGTACATTCAAAATCTGACAAGGAATCTTTAAAGTTATTTTTATGTGGGAAAGCCTGGTACAAGACTGAACAATTACATAACTATCTTAAACAAACAATTTATCAAAGTCAGACTAGACATTTTGGAACTATGTAAAGATCTGGTTATTTGTCAGATGTCTGAATTTTTAAAATCATTTACATTATAAATCTAGATTTGGGAAACAAGAATCCACATAGAATATCTGAAAACTGGCCCGTGTGTGTTCAGAAGGTCCAGTGCAACCTCTTGAAAAGAATATGCTTTTTGGTTCTGAACCAGGATTCACCAGGGTAGTGATCAAGGCCACCATATACAGCTATCCAGGTTGTGCACTGAACAACTGCAGAGGGCATCTTTCACGTACAGTGCAATGTGAATAGAGTCCATAGAGCTGAGCAGTGTACAACCTACCCAGATAAGAGATCTAAAAACAAGTGATATTTTAAAGACCTAACCCATCACCTGCAAAAATGTTATGTTTTATTAATGGAATATATTACCAAAGATCCGGCTGTGACAAAATTATAAACTGTACGATGTTCCAAATGTAAGCAGGATAGGGCATTTTGTTAAATGTTTGCTGATGCCATTGAATATTATGATAACAACTTTTTAATTTTTAAAATACTTAGCCTTTTGTTTTATTCACTAAGGGTCAGTCTCAGTTTCTAAGAAAAGTGTGTCCCATGTGCTGAGCAAGGAGGGAGGTGGAAACATTTCAGTCATTGTTCTTGGGGGTGCAGAAGAATCACTGGACGCCCATCCTGGAAAATTCACTCTCTTCATCTGCCAGCGGAAAGGATTTGTTAAAATTGCTTTGACCCATGGGTAAGTAACTTCTCATTTCGGGTAGCCTGGGTCAGAGAAATTAAGACATTATTAAATGAACACAAAGAAATAAAGTAATTTTTCTAGTCCTTAAAGACAGATTTCCTCTTAGTCGACCTTAAAATAAAAGCAGATGTGGATGCTCATGGGAAATGGTGTACAGCCTCCCCACTAAGGTGGCTCAGGACCGTCGCATCCAGAAGTTAAACGCACCTTTAAAAGCAAAGCAAACAGGGTATCTGGGTGGTTCAGGCAGTTGGGCATCTGCCTTCAGCTCAGGTCATGATCCCAGGTCCTAGAATTGAGCCCCTCATTGGGCTGCCTGCTCAGGGGGGAGTCTGCTTTTCTCTTTCTCTTGCCCCTCCCTTCCCCACTCATTCTCTCTCTCTCTCTGTCTCTCTGTCTCTCAAGGAAATAAATAAACTCTCAAAAAAAAAAAAAAAGCAAGCAAAAATTACGAAATTTTATACACAGAGTATAAATTTCCAGCCAAATGGACAAATGAATCATGGCCTGAATTATAGGTGGGAAAGAAACCTCCTGGACCCTTGATTTTTCTGTGGAATAAAATTCTGCAGATCACTAAATGGCTAAAATACCGCCCAAAAGGATTTCAAGTATAAGTCAGTTACATTGTGTGGAACATGAAATTAACAGTACAGAGAGACATGGGAACACTGAAAAATTCTTGGTTCACATATTCATCGGTTACGTATAACACCCATCAAAACGCATGCCCAGTCATTGAACATTACATCAAAAACTAATGATGTACTATATGCTGACTAGTTGAACTGAATAAATAAATAAATAAATAAATAAATAAATAAATAAATAAATAAATAATATTGAAAGGAAAGAAAAGAAAAATTCTTCGGATATGTTGCAAAAGTCATCTGAACAGAATAAAACACTTAAATTGTTTTCCTTAAAAATTTGTATTCTTGGGGCACCTGGGTGGCTCAGTGGGTTAAAGCCTCTGCCTTCAGCTCAGGTCATGATCCCAGGGTACCTGTTTCCCTTCCTCTCTCTCTGCCTGCCTCTCTGCCTACTTGTGATCTCTGTCAAATAAATAAATAAAATCTTAAAAAAAAAAAAAGAATTTGTATTCTTCTGCTTTGTTCTTTGTAGCGCCTCCTTGGTCCCGGTGTTTTCTTTTGGAGAAAATGAGCTATTTAAGCAAGTTAACAACCCTGAAGGCTCATGGCTTCGAACTGTGCAGGAGAAGCTGCAGAAGATCATGGGGTTTGCTTTGCCGCTGTTCCATGCCAGAGGAATTTTTCAATACAGTTTTGGCCTGATGCCCTATAGGAAACCTATCCACACTGTTGGTATGTATATTGAAGACTAAAGGCTTGTTAGAATAAGTAAAAGTATTACCTTCCTTTGAGCAATGTTATTGTTATTGATTGCAGTGCTAATGCAAGAGAAGTGGCTTTGAATAAGACCTTCCTAAAATAAGAATCCTATAGATGTTATTTGAGCTTCATTTACGGTATGCCTTCTGGCTAAGAAATGACTGTATTTTCCATTTGGGAATTGATCACATTCACGAATACTACTATTGAACTACAACAGGGAGAATCCAATTTAGACATAAAGTTCCTAGTACTCTATATGAATCTATTTCTCTGTACCAGCAGATTGGAACATAGCAGTTCTTTGATGAACACATTACATTGGTCTATTAATAGAGGCAGATTACTGTGTAATTCACGTGCGCCGGTTTCTGTAGCAAAAGCATTTTGGGGGGCTACTCGCTATTTTTATGTGTATTTTAATATGAGCTGATTTTATTTTAAAAAGTAGTATACTAGGGGGAATTGAGATGGGGGAGGAGGGTGACAGACTGTTATAGAAGAGCAAGGAGCAGAGTAATGAGCTCTTCACACCGAAAGTGAACTGGATTGCTGAGCCAGAGACAGCGTAGAGCCAGACGCTGACAGCACCGTTAACCAAACTGTGTGCTTGATCTGAAACTGAAAGTAACAGTTTCACCACGGATAGTCCATTAAATGACATTCAGAATGTTTTTAGATCTGTTTCATTCGCATGGGATTTTACTATTTACTGTCAGTTTCTGAGAGCCTTGTAGTTCATGTGCAGTCACGTGACACTATTTTTTAATGCCATATTTAATTCAAATGGAATGTTAATGCTGTTGATTAGTTAGTGTAATGGGAACAGGGAAATAAGTTTGCAGTTGTGTTTTTCCAAGATAAGCTAGTTACATTTCTTTGGCATAATGTATATTTTTTGACCAGGTAATCAACATGATTAGACCGTGATTTTTCTTTGTTGTAATATTAAATAGTCATTTTTGGTCCCTTATGGGCAAAGTACTATAATTGGCTTTTTAGGGGATATAGGGAGAATTGAAAGACATGACTTATAGGAACTAGAAGTTTGATTAAGTACAACTTATACACATATGAGGTAAGTTGCTGATGTTGAAAGCCAAGTGTATTCTGTTTATTTAAATGATTATAGTTATCGCCTGGTGAGGGTGAACTTTAGTGTTTTTTGGTTGTTGTTTTTTTTTTGAACTTTAGTGTTAAGTAAAGTGGTCATCATGTGGAGCAGCCTAGTTATAACTCTATTGACAAACAATTAATTTGACAATTAAATTGTCAACTAGGCAAAAAATGCCTAGAGACCTCACTTCCTCAGTAACCTCAAAGCATTCATTTCAGTGTTAGCGATTCTTGAATACTAGTGAGAATTACTAACACTGTAGGGATTTTGTCTGTTAATATCCCACTAATTAAATCCTCTTAAATATGTATTCTTGGCCACCTGGGGTGGCTCAGTTGGTTAAGCGATTACCTTCAGCTCAGATCATGATTCCAGGAGTCCTGGGATAGAGTCCCATATCGGGCTTCCCCTGCTATGCCTAGAGCCTGCTTCTCCCTCTCCCTCTCTGTGCCACTCTGCCTGCTTGTGCGCATGCTCTCTCTCTCTCCCTATGTCAAGTAAATGGATAAAATCTTTTAAAAAATAAATAAAAAATAGATAAAAATAAAAATCAAAGTGCCATCACCAGGTCACACTTACCCTCTCTGCATATTTCTTACACTACACCTTGCTAAACCACCAGGTTTCTCTGTGTCCTCCATCAAAACCATCTTCCCTATTTTTTTAAACATTTTATTTATTTATTTGACAGACAGAGATCACAAATAGGCAGGGAGGCAGGCAGAGAGAGAGGAGAAAGCAGGCTCCCTGCAGAGCAGAGAGCCCGATGCGGGGCTCAATCCCAGCGGGGCTCAATGACCCGAGCCGAAGGCAGAGGCTTTAACCCACTGAGCCACCCAGGTGCCCTTCATCTTCCCTATTTTTTTAAAAGATATTTTTTTATTTATTTGAGAGAGAGAGTGCACAGTATGGTATAAAAAATAACACAAGTAGGGGGAAGAATAGAGGGAACGGGGACAAGCAGACCCCTCTCTGAGCACGGAGCCCAGGGCTTAATCCTAGGATCTTGAGATCATGACCTGAGCTGAAGTCAGTTGAAGTCACCCATTTTTCCCCTTAGCTGAGGTTCACTCAGTGGAAATAATTTGTGAAGAAGATACCATATATTAGATTCTGCACAGCAAAGGAAACAATCAACAAAACTAAAAGACAGCCTACTGAATGGAAGAAGAAATTTCAAATGACATCTCTGATAAAGGGTTAGTATCCAAAATATATAAAGAAGTTATACAACTTAACTTCCAAAAAACAGTCCAATGAAAAAATGGGTAGAAGACATGAAAGAATGTTACTTCAGAGAGGAAATACAGATGGCCAATGGACAGGAGAAAAGACGCTCAACATCACTCATCATCAGGGAAATGCAAATCAAAACTACAACACCTGTCAGAATGGCTAAAATAAAAACACCAGAAACAACAAGTGTTGGTGAGGATGTAGAGAAAGGGGAGCCCTTTGCGCTGTTGGTGGGAATGCAAACTGGTGCAGCCACTGCGGAAAACAGTACAGAGGTTCTTCAAAAAGTTAAAAATGAAACTACCCTATGACCCAGCAATTGCACTACTGGGTATTTACCCCCCAAAATACAAAAACACCAATTAAAAGGGATGCATGCACCCCTGTGTTTATTGCAGCATTATTTACAATAGCCAAGTTACGGAGGGAGCCCAAGTATCAGTCAACAGATGAATGGATAAAGAAAATGTGGTGTATATATACTGCAGAATATTATTCGGCTGTAAAAAAGAATAAAACCTTGCCTTTTGTAACAACATGGATGTAGCTAGAGTATAATGCTGAGCAGAATAAGTCAAAGAAAGACAAATGCCATATGATCTCTCTCATATGTGGAGTGTAAGAAACAAAACAAATAAGCAAAAGAAAAAAAAGGAACCCAAGAAACAGACTCAGCTATAGAGAATGAACAGAGGAGAGGTTGGTTGCGGGAGATAGAGGAAATAGGTGATAGGGATTAAGAGTACATTTGTGATGAGCACTGAGCACTCTTTACAATTGGTGAAAATTGTATTCCTGAAACTCATATAACACTGTATGTTAACTATACTGGAATTAAAGTAAAACACTTAATTAAAAAGTAAAATAAGAAGATATACCATATATTTACACATTTCACAAATAGTATGCAATTTACATATTTTGTTATTGTCAGTTTTAAAATGTAAAATATTCACGTATATTGTATTTTGTTACATAAATAAATAATGGAGAGAAACTGATTTAAATATCACATCCCATCATGATACCCAGGAGGGATAATTTTTTTTTTTTAAGATTTTGTTTATTTGACAGAGAGAGAGAGATCACAAGTAGGCAGGCAGAGAGAGGGGGAAGCAGGCTCCCCGCTGAGCAGGGAGCCCATCACGGGGCTTGATCATGACCTCAGCCGAAGGCAGAGGCTTAACCCACTGAGCCACCCAGGCGCCTCCCAAGGAGGGATAATTAAAAGAAGTTTAGACTCTAAAAACAATGTGTAAAGAATTGCAGGCTCCTGAAATTACTGTTTGTTTCTACTATACAGAGCTCCAGGAGAGCAGGGATTTTGTCTTGCTGTTCTCTGCTGTATTCCCCATGCCCAGGGGATAGTGGCTCCAGACACATTTGTAAACAAATCATTCTTTAGTTAAGCCTTTCTGATTTGTAAGTTTTCAAATATCTAACAAGTACCCATTAAAAATTTTAAGGGAAGCTAATGTTAAATTCAAGTTGTAGAGCCAGTACAGGTAGTATGATGGGAAGTTGCATGTTTGGGGAGAAAGTAAGAGACAAGGCTATTTGCCATTGAAAGGGGGAGGTTTCTATTCAAAGGTTCAGAAAAGTTTCCTGAACAGTAAAATGAACTCCTGTGTGCGTTTCTCCCACACTCACCAGTTGGTAACATTTTGCTACCGTTTTTATCTCTCTCTAATGGTATGATAAATACACTCTTTCCAGTTATCGCTGAGCTGTTGGAGTGTGTGCAAACATGACATTTGCTCCTATGTATCTCTTTTAAGAGCAAGATGATTCTCATCTATAATGTCAGTACAATTCGGGAAATCGAACGTTGATAAAGTACTGTTAACCAGTGTACAGTGTGTATTTAAACCTCACCAATTGCCATAATAAATTCCTTGTTAGTTATGCTTTTGGGGGGTATCAGGGGTGGGGGGTCAACTGTTTTTTTCCCTCAGTAGGATCATACATTGCATTTAGTTTCCACATCTCTTCAGCCTGCTTCAAACTGCATTCGTTTTTCAGCTTCTTTTCTGTCTTTATGACATGAGCAATTTGGAGGAGTGTAGATCAGTGGTTTGTAGGTCAACTTGGGTTGGTGTGTTTCATCATGAGTATATTCCAGTTATGCATATGTGGCAAGAATTACACAGAAATGATGTGTCTTCCTCAGTATGTCACATCAAGAGGCTCTTGCTGTCAATTTGTCCCATTGTTGGTGGTACTCAATTTGATTACTTGAGTGGGGTGTTTGCCAGGTTTCTCTACTATAAAGTTAAATCACAAAGATTTATCTACATAAATTTTTATGTTTGTATATATAAGTTTATATTATATATATTATATTTATAAAGACTTTTTCCTTTTCATGAACAAGTAACCTGGGGATGGTGTTACTTAGACACTGTGTAATTATTCTGTTCATCAGACTTTACTTGATGGCTTTAATAGCCATTGATAATCCTTGCCTGAATCAATTAAGGAAGTCATGGTTGCAAACTAGTGATTTTCTGGCTCTAGTATTCCTTCTATATTAATTATTTGGCTGTCCATCCTCCCAGTGTTAGATTATTTGAATTCTGGATATCCAGGGAGGTTTATCAGCTGTGTTTGCGTGTGGCAT